CCCCCCCCCCCCGTCACTTTTGTGACATCATATGAAACCCAAGAATAATTGTTCATACTTTTCACAATTTGAATATATTATATGACCAGGCAACTAAAGAACCTTGCAATTGCAACCAGTGTCTTAGATATGTCCAGTGTTAATGGCAAAATATGAATATGTTGCACTAGTGATTATGAGGTAATTAGGGCCCAAAATTTATTGGGATTGACATTCAGGCTTAAACCTTTTGAATTTTACAAGGAGTCTCCAGTCGTTTCCTTAAGTAATTGAAAGATACCAATATCACAATGTTGGTGCAAAGACTAACTTTTGGAAGCCAGAATACTTTGACAATGATGAAGGTATGTAGTTATGTAGTCTACTGTTCAGTACATGTATGTGTGTGTATAGCAAGATAAAATACTATAAAATACTAATTAATCTTTCTCACTGGGTCCGATATCTGCCATTGTTTTTGATACTGTCTTCATATATCAGAGAATCTAGACAATCCAAACAATATGAAAACCAAATTTTTCAAAATTGTTAACTGTACTGTACATGTAATATTATACACACATATACATTACAGATTTACAGTCATAATTAAAAGTCATTTTTCAGTACTTACACTCTAAGGGTTGTGAGTGGCAGACTGGCAGTACCACAAAAAGTGATAGATAAACCCAGTGTTTTCAATGACAATTGTAATAGCATGCTGCGGTTCAAAAATAGGCGTCTGTTCTCAAAGTTTACAGAAAATGTACAAATATAAATTGTACGTATATACAAAGAAATATGCAAGCGTTAAAGGCCTAATAGGCAGCGATAAACCGCCGGTAACCGCCTTTTATTGAAAACACTGTAAACCCAGCATCGGAAAGGCTAATTGTGATTGATGGAAAGTGAAATAAATTGAAATTATTGTCAATATATTTGTTATTACCTGTATGCAACTTACACTGCATTGGATTGATTGGAAACATTTCTTCACAAAATTGTTATATGTGGGGCCTTTCTGGGGGCTTAGGCCAAATTTTCCACCACACCCCTTCCCTTTGGCTATTTGAACTGCAGTGCTAAACTGAACTGTTAAGGCCCGTTTACACGGAAAATTTTTGCTGCGATTTTATAGTTGCGATTTTCTCCTTTTGGAGGATGTGAAGGAGTAGATTACTTAAGATGTTGTTATAAGATTTCACAACCTAGAACATTTATAACTCATCTACTCCTTCACATCTTCCAAAAGGAGAAAATCGCAGCAAAAATCACCTGTGTAAACGTGCCTTTAGAAAGAACATAATGTGTGAAATGTATTTTGACAGATTGCTGTTATTATTCTTAAATGTGCATAATATATGGTTTGTGATGTATTTTTCAGATAACCACCCAGAACATATGAAATTATGGAATGATTTCCGTGATCAGTATTTTCTTCAGCTTCTTCAAACTGGGTTAAATTGCATCCCACAGCCCGATAAAGATTTTGCAACCATGACTGAAGAAGAGTTCTTGGAGTGGCTGAAAAAGCAAACTGTTGAAGGTGTTCAGGTAAAGGAAAATTTTGTCATTCAAGTTGCAGATGTGTTAAAACCGTCTGTTGACAGCAGTTATAAATCTAGTGATGTGGTAATATTACCTTTATCAGTTGAAGATAATTCAACTATAAATGGCACTGCATCAATTTTGGAAGAGTTTGGTAAAGAATTTGGCATTGATTGCAACCACCAGACTTCATTCCTTCTTTTTGATGAGAACAAAAAAGTTTTTGATTTGAAAGCATCTCGTAACAGATATGAATTCATAACACACTTGGAGGAACACAAGAAAACGATGTTGGAATATAAATCCCAACTTGACAGTACTGAGAACGATTTTGAACACAATTCATGTGTCTTTTAGTCTGCTGAGGATGACAAGGAAACAAATGAAGAAAGTGACGATAATGATGATGATGATGAAGAGTCTGCTCTAAGCCAGTTAAAGAAAAAAAAAATCCAGAAAATCGATGGGGCATTTAAGAAAGTCTATGATGGAGTTGTTAAGAAAATGTGGAAAGCAGCACACATCTCAGATCCACATGCATTCTAAAAATTCTTAAAGGAAATGGAATATAAGCGCCACGAATGGGACACAAATTCCATTGCCGACCATTTTGGAAGAACAATATTGCATGCTGCTGTTGAGGACAATAATGTAACACTAGTGAAAACATTGATCACTGTTGGTGTTGACATCAATTGTTTGGAAGGATGTGATGCCTCACCACTAACATTAGCTGTCATAAATAAGAATGAAGGTATTGCAAAGATACTTCATGAAAATTTTGCCTTAAGTTCAGGTGCACTTTTTACATGCATGCCCAGTCCACTTGAAATTGCAAAAGTTATGGAACTTGATACGATGGTAAAACTGTTTGAGACTGATCAGGATTACATAGAGGATAAAATATTGCTACAAAGCTTTGAACAATGTAAACCAGTTGATATTTCCGACAGAATTGAAATACCAGACGGTGAAAGTCAAGTTTTTAAGTTCAATCGATCTGAATGCAGATCATGTCCTACGATAATTGTTGGTGACAATGGGACAAATAAAATATGTAGAAGTGTGAAGAATTGGGCATTGTATGCGTTTAACTGGTGTTCAGAATTTCCTGGAGACATGCACACAAAGGGATACTTGTGTGAAGCATGTTACAAAGCAATGGCCGATGGTGGCTTTCATCATGTAATTCATACCGTAATGAAACGACCAAAGCTAACGCGAGAAGCATTTGGGAAAAGAAAGTTCCAAGACCAAAACTTGGGCCATATTAAAGAGGCAGTGCGGGACGGGGGTGTTGCTTTCGGTCTTGCTGCCGTACAAGAATTTAAGAAGTCTGTGTACTTCCCTACAAAGTCGCAGTTTATGGAATCATTACGTCGTACAGGATCGCACAATGAGGCCCTGTTAACAGGTTTCAAGAAATGGTTGCAAGATGGAAGTGCAGACGATGCCTCTTTCAAGTATAATACAGACCTCATCAGCTTATATGCACCCTTACTTGAACTCTATTGCAATGTTACAAAGTGTTGTGATGGGCTAGGCAGAGAGGTAGTATGGTTTCTTCTGTTACCGATATTTTGCCAACTTCGCAAAAGAAACTATTGGACAGAATCTCTTGTACACATTGTCAATTTTACCACCAAATGGCCTTTAGCTGTGAGAATGATGATGCGACAGAACTGTAGTGGAAGTATAAAAGGAAACAGGAATGCCAACATTGCCCTGGATGAGTTTGTTGAAACTTACATAGTACAACCCCTCAAGAAATATGAGTCGGGTACGCAAATATACAATATGCACTGTATTATTTCTAAAACTGAATCAATTTGAGTAAAATGATGAAGTAAGGCTCATTAGAGCACAATGCAACTTAACCTGTTAAGTGACAATGTGCACTGATACACCCTACTTTATTACTTTACTGTCAACAGATGATTCACTAGTGAAGGGAAGAGTGCTGTCACTCAATGGGCTAATGATAATTATACTGTAGCAAATGTGTACATGTAATGTTATTAAGTAATTGATAAGGATACAACACCTTCATTATTACATGTATGACCAGATTAATCAATGAATTATAAGAATTATAATGACCTACCAATATTCTGGGCCGTAACTAGACGCGATAATTGGGGCCCCACATATTATTCTGCCGACGGATTTCTTTTGAAAGCGATTGTTTTACGTTATGTGAACATGAATACTGGAATATTCACCCCACCCCCAATTATTGTGTCTAGTTACGGCCCTGCCAATATTGCTCCGATGCATATCAAATGCAACTTTCGGAATTAATTTGATAAACTTTGGAATTGAATGTGTTTATACTACTTTTGCTTACTCTGTTAAAATGTTGCTATTGTGACATGGTATTTTTGGTCATATGTCTTACATGGTTGTTTCCATGGCAAGTTTGACTAGATGCCAAATTCAATATACCCAATGTTGAAATATTCAAACTGGATTTATGAAGAACTTGAAAATTTTAAAACAATTTTTAACTTATTTCCTATTTCCCTTTAACAAGACCAATAGGAAATATTTTATTCTTGTTTTACAAATGTTTTATATAGGACATACTACTGTGAAAATGTGCAGGAGGCTTATGGCCAATGTACAAATTTTTGGACAAGTGAGAACATTTTTGGACATGTTTGATGTTCATGTGACTACAAAACACAAAGAACAAGACCCACTACCGGATCAATTAAAAGGCATGCAGTTCTGTTTGAAAGAAAAGTTTTTCTCTCCACAAAAGGCAATAAGTTATCAACAAATATGTTAATGGAAAAAAGGATGGTCATGTAAAGAACAGTCTGGTGGATGTTTTCTCAAAAGGTGTGAAGAAGGTCCAAGACAACTTTGACCATAAGATGTTTGAATTATTTCCAGAATGGAGACTAGGAAAAAGAAGTGAAGGTGAAAACGAATAATATAATCTTTGTACATATACTCCTTACTTAAGCCGCTTTTCCACTAGGCGGAATTTGGCGCACGGAGTGGAATTTTTCGTTGTCTTGTGATTTCTCAGGTGGAACTAATTACAAAATACAAAGGGAAATTCGGATCCGCACGCAAAATTCCGCCTAGTGGAAAACCGGCTTAATTAGTGTTTGTGAATTCAAATTAGATTTATAAATATGATCAGATATGAACAACATTAGCTTACTCCTGGGACCTTTACTTGGCACATTTGGTCAATTTACATACTTGCTTTCATTTTGCATGTCACATCATACATACCAAATGCAAGCCCAAAATTGACCAAATGTACCAAATCCAGATGAGTAATGGTCTTAAGATCTAGGCTAGAATAACATGACATTTCAAACAACGGGCCTTACTAAGAAGCAGCTTCAGAGGAAGGGGCCTTTATATGAAATACTTTATTATTCTAAATGAGTTGATGTTGTGATTAATACTACTAAAAGTTTTAAATTGAGTGGTTGTTCAGTTGTGATTAATTCTACTGTAAGGTTATTTTATATTCAATGCCATAACTGATGCTGGACCCCAGAGATTGAATATCAATGAAAAATATTTTAAATGTACTGTACACTAAATAGTAATGTACTAAATGAATAACTTATACAAATTTGGTGATCAGTTATGTGTCTATCTGAAATAGCAGTATATACAACCACTAATACTAGATTCCCCTTATTACATTTTTGTAGCCCTTTGCATTGTGGTTATAGTCGAACTTTATGAAGGAACTTTATAGCCATCAATAACAATGTTCTCCATTTGATTGTAAAGCACTTGTGTATCTCAATAATTAACCCATTTTATCGTGCCACTGTAATCTCCCCTTTTAAAAGGGCATTGGCTCCATCTCCAATTGAAATAGTTGCATTAGTTGTTACATCATTGCTACTTGGAATATTTTCTTTCAAAATATTTTTAGTAATCAACAACTGTACAAATGTTGATGCCGTCAAAAACGAAAATTTACCCTTTCCAGCACCAAAACAGTCTACTTCGTTAAACTTCTTTTTCGTAATTTCTTTGCGCTTTGATCCAAGAAATGTCAACACTAATGCCTTGAATGATACTTTAACACTGATCTGCAACATACATTCAACACAGCTAATTATGTTCTTTGCATCGTTTGAGGCTTCAATACATTTAGTGTGATCCGTGTTTTTACAGTTATCACAATTATTGCATTCTGGAATTTTTTCGCCAAAGTATTGCAACAAAAGCTGTGTTCGGCAATCATTGCTAATGCAATACATGGTCATAGCATTCAGGCTATCATGTGCCAAATTCTTGTGATCATTATCATCTAATGTAGATATCATTCTTAGCTTTTTTACTCTATCTTCAAATTTAAAAAAGATGATACATGATGCAGCAGCACCATCCCTCCCAGCTTCTTGGTAGTACTCCTCGGGTGACTTTGGTATTGTCAGGTGAATAACAAACCTGACATTGGGCTTATCAATGCCCATACCAAAAGCAGATGTGGCACAAATGACAAGTGCTCTTCCCTCAAGCCAAGCAGAATTATTTACTTTCTTTTCAAATGGATCAAGGGCACCATGAAAATAAGTCGCATTAATTCCTTCGGTTTTTAAAGTATATGCCATGTCAATGGTGTCCCTGCGCTCAGAACAATATACAATGCCACACATGTCAGGAAATTGTTCCTGGATCAATTTGCAAATATCCTCTTTAGCAGATGATTTTTTGTAACAACAATGTAAGTCAAAGAAGTTCTAACAAATGATTGTTTAATTATAACAGGATTATCCATTCTCAATTGCATCACAATGATTTCCACTGTCCTCCAAGTAGCTGTCCCAGTCAAAGCTACAATTGGGACACCATAATCTCTCAAAGCTCCAAGACTAGAATAGCTGGGGCGAAAATTGAATCCCCATTGATCAATACAGTGGGCTTCATCCACTACAAATTGTGCAAGTGTACAACTGGCAGACATTATTGTTTGAATTAAATTTCGAACCTTTATAGTTGGTAAAGTTTCTGGTGTTGTAAAAAGAAACTTGTAAGATGGAGATGCCAAACTGAGTTCATGGCAAACAATTGACCACTGGTCCTCACTCATATCTGATACTAAGTAGCACACACTTATTTTGACAGATTGCAGTCTTCGCACTTGGTCAAGAATAAGTGCAATCAGGGGAGTCACTACAATGGTAACACTGGACATAACAATGCCAGGGACTGCATATAGCAAACAATTTTTCCTCCACCTGTTGGCATCAACACCACACAATCCTTTTTCTGTAAAATAGTTTTGACAACTTCTTCCTGTTTACCTTTAAACTGGTTATATCCAAACACTGATCTCAAAGTATCCAAGGCCACATCACCAGTTTCACTGATTATTTTTTCTCCAATATGAACAAAATTTCATCACAATATTATTTTTGTGGGGGTTGTTTGCTCATTTTGGACAGGGGCATACCAAAAAAGTGTTGAAATATACACTCCCTGAAATGCAATTTCAAGGATTTTTGGAGTGGGATTTTGTAGAATTTTGAATATTATACATTGAAGATTATACATCAAACCCCCTCCCCCAACATTTCTTCCCAGATTTTAGCTTTTCACAAGGTCAGCCCTTGATTTTGGCATTATTTAAAGACCATGTCAAGTCTGTTCTGCACATCAGTTCTGCCCGTACCAAAGGGGGGCCCACAGATATAAACATTGCCCAAATTTTGCATCTTTTGAACTTTTTGAATTGAAACATACTCTAGTTTATATTCATTAAAAATAGCGACAAACAAAAGTGTTAGATATTTAGTTAGTATGTCTTATTTTACAAATATAGCAGTTCAAAATGTAAACAAAGGATTTGTTTACATTATACGGACTTGACATGACCTTTAAATTACAATTTGGGGGCCACTTTTGGATTTATTTTCAATTATTTCATGCAATCCCCTAAGAAAAGTGAAAATTAAATACCCCCTCCTTTTAAATTCAGAAACTAAACCAAGGGATGTACATATTAAAAAAAAGGATGTATATTTGGGGGGGAGGGAGATTTTATATACAATGTAAAATGGAATGTCATTCAATTTATCAAGTTCACCTTCTTTATGAAGCATGGCTGCAATACAATGACCGTACCACTTCCATTTAAATCAGCAAATTCTCTTGAGCTATACCAAGTACTGAATTTTACAAGCAAGCCGAACGATGATACTGTTATTGTAACAGGTTTGTTACCCTTGGAGTAATGGGACAGGATACCAGAGTGGAACAAATACATTCCAAAAGTTTTGGCAGCTTCGTTCGGCTGCAACTCATCTTCACCCACAGAGACAGAAAATATCCTTTCATCGCTTGATACCTTTGAATATTATAGTCAAAACATTATTAAAAACATTCCATAAATACAGAATTCAGCGAAAATTGTTTTGCATATATATTTAAACATTAACATATTGATATGATCAATTATTCATTATGTAAATGAGCCTAATATGTAAACGCATACCTGCTTACGTCTCATTTCGAAGATCTTTTCGATCATCAGTCTTGTTTCATTACCGTGCAACTTTTTCATCATATTCGATGCATCATGTTCAATCTTTTCCCCGACATATTGAACATCTGGATGTCGGATACGAAAATGATGTTGAAGTCCGTGTTTTTTATAAAAGGCTGTGATCCCCTTGCATAAATTATTTGGACAAGGCACTTTATTCTCTAAATGCGCAAAGTGGACTGGCCTGTTGTAGTTTTCCAGAACGTCCGCCATTAAACTATTCGCCATCTTTAAAAGTTATCTGCCAGACGTGTCCGCTTCTTTCCCCTTCCCGCCCTCCCTTGCGCGCCGCCTTTTTTTCTCATGCACCGCTTTTTTTCTCGCGCACCGCCTTTTCCTCATCAGTATATTAAAGAGACGTCTGGGTACGAGGCAGATTTGTCATTATTTAGTTTGAGTCCATGGCGAGAAATTGTGGACATGCATGCGCATTTAAAACTATTTGCAAAGAAAATGGCGACCATAATATTAGAGATTTATATAGGAGTTCACAAAAAATTCGCCCTATATCTGTGTGTCTTAAGAAATCATAAGATGTTGCATAAGATACAGTTAGCTTTGGTGATAATTTAAATTGTAAGCAAAAATTATAATATGATGATATAGAAATCTTATTCGGTATCACGATATTTATCTTCGAAGCAAGCGTAAAGTAAAATATATAGCACAATAGGCAACATATCTCAAGCGGGCCACAATGAAGTCCGATTTCTTACTCTTCTGAGCTACGGATGCAAGATGATGCATCTCTTTTGGCTTGTCAATACACTGCGTTTCTAGGGACAATGTCAAATCTCTGCGATTAATATGTGGTTCGGTATTTTAACATAATTTTAGTGCAATCTCGATGTATTTTAAGCGTGAAATGCGACACCGCACACTGAAACATGCCTAAAATGTGAACATAAAATCAACCAAAACTGGTCATTCTTCTTCGAAATATGCCTCCATCTTGTACGCTCTCTGCAGAAGAAGAGCTTTGTAACCATGCCTTATAGTTTCTAGGCAACAAAATATTATATATTTCTAAACATTGTCGGTAAGACTTCAGATGCGGGTAAAAGTGGGTATATAATTTTTTTGTGCAAAGGTCACATGGGTCAATCGAGCAAAACATATAAACACTGAAACGTTTCAGATGTCTAGCCTTTCTTTTTCCCCCGAACGGCTAAAAATTCTTATGCATGGGGGTTTAACCATCCTCAGTGGTTAAAAAAAGTGTTATAAGCCACTGATGGCAACCAAGACATTTATGAACGCAGAATATATTATACTTAAGCTCCACCCCCTAATTCCACAATTTCTCGCCATGCTATTAATTGAGGACCATTGAGCCACGCAATTAGCTATAGATTGCAAACAACTTTGATGGCCTTTAGGGACAACTTCTGAGATTGTGTCATCAACATGCTTTCCTAGATGGGCATTTATATTGTCATGTTTAGATATTGTTTAGTTATTTTAGATATTGATGTCTTCTAACACACTTCTAAATAATTTACCTAGACTTGAATTAACCTCTTGTTTATCGAATATATCAACACTGAGGGAATCTGACGTTGATAGGAATTTCATAAGTAATGTTGATTTTAATTATTTCACTAAATAATAGCTTTAATGACAATCAAAACATTGAGCAGATTATTTCTGCATCAGATTCATTCTCTGCTCTACATAGCAATATAAGAAGCCTATCGGCAAATCATGATCATCTGACATCTATGTTGTCAGATGTTAATTGTCATTTTAACATTATTGGTCTAACTGAGACAATCATCTTCCTATTTTTCATATTACATCTTTAGCTAGGAAAATATATAATTCTGAAGGCAAAACTTCGCAACTTCGAAGAATAATAAACAATAACAATCTTCTATCATTTTCAAATACCATGAAACTGATGTCATGGGATAACATTATTGAAAACAATGACCCTTGCAAAGCATACAACATATTTCATAATAACCTAATACAAGCGTTTGAGAAGAGCTTTCCTTTGGTAAACAGGCAAAAACGAACTGTTGACTATGACAAAAGTCCCTGGATGACTCAAGGTATTTCTAAATCTATAGAAATTAAAAACAAACTTTATAAAAAGTATCTTAAAAACCCAAGTATTAAGAGCGAAACCACGTATAAAAAATACAAAAATAAATTAAAACATTTAATTAAAATAACTAAAAAAGATTATTTTGAGAGTCAGTTTATTAAATACAAAAACAATGGCAAAATGACATGGCAGACCATTAATCGAATATTAAATCGAAACAATAAAAAGAAGGAAGCGCTTCCTGATACATTTAGAGAAAAGAACTCAAATATTAATTATTCTGACCCAATTGAGATTGCAAACAAATTCAACGAATATTTTGTAAACGTTGGACCGAATTTAGCCAAAGGTATTCAACAAAATGACACAATACCATTTGAAAATTATCTCAAAGGTAACTATCGAGAAAGTATGTTTACTGAACCTGTTACAGAATATGAAATCTTGACTGAGATTGATAACTTAAATGTAACTAAAAGTGCAGGTCATGATAATATCAGTGCCAAAATGGTAAAAGCAATTAAACAAGAGATTTGCAAACCTCTTGCACATATTTTCAATTTAACTTTTGAAACTGGATTAATACCGAATACACTAAAAATAGCTCTTGTTACTCCTATTTTTAAAGCAAATGAAAAATGTCTATTTGAAAATTATAGGCCAATTTCAGTTCTCACATGTTTTTCGAAATTGCTTGAAAAAGTAATGTACAAAAGACTGATTTCATATATTGAAAAACAAAACATTTTATCTAAACACCAGTATGGTTTCAGGAAAAATCGCTCCACTGAACATGCTATTATTGAATTGACTGACAAAATCTCAAAGGCCATAGATGAAGGAAAATACACAATCGGTATTTTCCTTGATCTATCTAAGGCTTTTGACACAGTTAACCATAAAATTCTTCTAAAAAAACTAGAACATTATGGTATAAGAGGAAATTGTTTAAAATGGTTTGAAAACTACTTACATGAAAGAACGCAAATTCTTAAGTTTCGTGATCATAAGTCAAGTAAGATGACAATATCTTCAGGAGTTCCGCAAGGCTCGATTCTTGGGCCTCTACTTTTTCTGTTATATATTAACGACATTGAGAACTGTAGTGAAATAATTTCTTTTGTTATGTATGCCGATGACACAAATGCGTTTTACTCTGACAAATGCCTCAAATCTTTAATGCATGTTATGCAAAAAGAAATGAATGAAGTGACTAAATGGCTAAACGCCAATAAATTATCAATAAATACTAAAAAAACTAAGTACGTCATTTTTAAATCAAAAAATAAAAAATGTGACACTGATACTAATATTCAACTTAACAATAACATTACACATCAGGCTACTGCTGTCAAATTTCTAGGTGTAATAATAGATCAAGAACTAACATGGAAAAACCATATAAACTCAGTTGTCAAAAATATTATTAAAGCATCGGCGTTGATTGCAAAAATACGACATTATACAAACAAAAATACATTAAATGTACTTTATTATGCATTAGTTTATCCATATCTTACTTATGGGAATTTAATATGGGGTAACACGTACCCAACAAGGCTGCTAAAAATACTGAATTTACAGAAAAAAATTATCAGATTGATGAACTTTAAATCTTATCTTGAACACACTGAACCATTGTTTCAAAAATTGAAAATCTTAAATATCTTTAAGATTAATGACTATTTAAGTTGTTTATTTGTGTACCGTTTTAAACATTTACAAAATCTACCTGAATTTGTTAATGACTACTTCATACAAAACAATGAAGTGCATCATTACAATACTCGGAATTCTAACAAATTGCATGTCAATTATAGTAGAACTAATTATGCAAAACATACTATTATTAACAAGGGAGTTAAAATATGGAACTCTCTTGATAAAGGAACTAGCAATACTATGTTTTATTCTACTTTTAAGAAAAAGTTGAAAAGCCTTTTCTTGGAATATACCTAACGGCTTTCATTTGTAATCTCACATAATAAACGCTTGTGTATATTTATATTCAAATCACTATATTTGTAAATACTCTTACTTTGTCTTTGACAAGATTGAACAAGCTTTAACCATTTTTATATAATAATTAATATTGTTAAACTAGGGGCCTTTGAATAAAAGCCTGATAGGGTTTCATAAAGGTTCCTAGCCCCTAATGTTTGTAAAAATATAGATTGTAAATATATTTAGCTTTATATGGGCAAATAAAAAAAAATAAATAAAAATAAAAAAATAAAAAAAAAATAAAAAAAACTCTTTTGGCAAACACACTAAGCATATCCAATTATTTTCAGGGGTAGAACAGCATGCATATAGCTAAAGTACAACAAAATTAGGTACCCTGTTGGGGCAGAAAACCTGTTAATATGACTAAAAATGACTGAAGGAACAATCCAATAAGACTTTAGCTTAAGAACTCCCTCTATTTCATTAAACAATGTACCATATTGCATTAAACTTTGGGAACACTAAACCTATAGATGCAGAATTGTGAACAATGTTAAACTAAGGCATTATTCTCAATATGTGGCCATTAACTCCTGCTTTCACAGGGAATCCTTCAGTAAAATCTTCATTATTGACTCTGATAAACAACATAAAACTCCCTGAACTCAACGAGACATTGTGTTACACACATGAAACTCATTTGGCAAACACACCAAGCATATGCCATTATTTTCAGGGGTAGAACAGCCATTTAGCTAAAGTACAACAAAAGTTAGGGGCAGAAAACCTATTAATATGACTATCAATGACTGAAGCAATAACCCAATAAGACTTTATTTAGCTTAAGTACTCCCTCTACTTCATTAAATACTGTATGTAGCTATTACATCAAACTTTGGGAATACTAAACCCATACAGTACATGCAGAATTGTGAACAATGTTAAACTAAGGCATTCTCAATAGGTGGCCATTAAGTACTGTTCACAGGAAATCCTTCAGTAAAAACTTCATTATTGAGCCCCCCGAACTTGACGAGACATTGTGATACATACATGAAACTCATTTGGGAAACACACAAAGCATAATGCAATTATTTTCACGGGTAGAACAGCCATGTAGCTAAAGAACAACAAAAGTTAGGGGCAGAAAACCTATTAATATGACTAAAAATGACTGAAGCAATAATCCAATAAGACTTTAGCTTAAGAACTCCCTCTTTAATTTCATTAAACACTGTACCCTATTGCCTTAAACTTTGGGAACACTAAACCCATACTGTACATGCAGAATTGTGAACAATGTTAAACTAAGGCATTATTCTCAATATGTGGCCATTCAAAGTACTGTTTTGACAGGGAATCCTTCAGTAAAAACTTCATTATCACAACATAAAGCCCAGGGGCGGATCCAGACCCAAAACTGACCGTGGCTCCTAAATTAAACCACGCATAACTAGGGGGGTCCGGGGGCATGCCCCCCTGAAAAATTTTTGAAATTTGAAGCCCGGAAACACCATTTCCTGCAATCTGAGCGGCGTATTTCCTCCTCAAATTTCGGTCTATGGACGGCGAAGCATGGCCATCATTTGCTTTTGGTGCCACCAAAAGTGATATTAAATATATCAACAGTTTGGGTAGGATAGTATGATTGAATTGTAAGCCAATTACCGTCGCTAAGGTAAACATCATCAACGTGAATTCGTAATTATGCGCATTATGCATTGCTTCTTCAGTAGGCTAACTGCTGCTGTATGATCATATTTTCAAAAACTGACATGGCAGTATCAGACAAGCACTTTGCAAAGGCAATTTTAAGCCAAGTGAACGCTCCATTCTGAACAGGTGTATCAGAAAAAAGTAAACAATTTCAAACGGCTCTCAATTTCACCAATCCGTTCATGTCATTAAATATTTGATAAACATATATTGTTTGGTTTCTTATAATGTAGAATAAACAAGAAATTTTCGTAAAGATAAATTTTCCAAAGCAGGGGGGGTCTTTTTTAGCAGCATTAAAATAGCTTGCACATGAAATTTAAAAGGTTAAAACGCATTTTGAGTTGATGGACGAGAAATTTGTTATGTGTTTTATTAATGGTCCAAATATCAGAAAAATTGCTGAATTTTATGTCCTTCAAACAGGTGCTGAAACTATAACTTTTGGCACCAATGCATTTACGCATGCTTAATTCATGCATTTACCTAATTTGCATAATGTCACTTCACTTTTTATACAACATAGTTAAAGAAATCTATGTTAAATTAACCCATTAGTGTGCAAGGTCTTTCCAATGATGAGTAAAATTATCCAAGAACTAGACAAAGTAATGTAGCACAGAATATGGTATTTGGGTGTGTGCTGTATTATGACAACAGTAATTGAGTGAACTAGCTATCATTATCATTTGCTTGCATGGCCAATATCTACATGGTTCTTTGAGTAACAGCTATACAAGACAATGGGGGAGGATGTGGGTGACTACCATATTACCACTCAGTTGCCAGAAATCTCAATTCTTTAACTAATTTGAGAGCCAGCACTCTCCCCTTCACAAGTAAAGTCAACTGGTGTTAGACAGAGTAAAATAATAAAGTACGGCACTTTAGGCCTCATTAGGGCACACTGCGACTCAATGGGTCAAACTTATATATACATTTCTTGCAAATTTGCTTAATGTATATCCTACCAATTTATAACTTTCCAATAGATGTAAAAATAATAAAATTATTTTTACAGCTTTGTTACACATGTAGTTATTCAGCCACCATTCAAAGACTTTCAGGAATTTTTTGGGGGAGGGGGTAATCACCCCCCTTGTACTGTATGCACCGATAATAAGAATATTTATATCAGTAATCTATGTAGCTGTACTAGTCTTACATGATATTTTCTCCATTTCCATGATTGTTTAAGTGCTCATGAGTGTAACATACAGTATGGTTGCAACATGCTTTCAAGTGTTTAATGGCTCAATGTTATGTTGCTCCATAATGGGACTTTTTGCTTGACAACATGCCTCTAAAGCCTGATTCACAGTTAGTGATTTTGTTGATGATTTTCTCATCCTGACGGATTCAAATGAGTGGGCTTGCACACAATTGGTTTTCACAAGTATATGCTTCCACACTTTTACATGTTACTCATCTAGTCGTCACCCCCCAGCAGAAGAAATATTTGCCGACAAAAGATTTGCTGACTGAGAACCTGAATTAAGATCATCTCAAAATACATCTCAATATGAAGATGGCTCACTTCCACATAAACACATCCTAATTTTATCCAGTAATTATTTGACAGAATAATAAGGATAATATTCAATATATAAATAAAACATATATGCCACCATACTGCATAATATCACCAAAATATTTACAAATAAAGTAACCTTGGATTTGTAAACATTGCATTGCCAGTATATATAGGCGCCATATAACTAATGCATACATGTCATAAATTGTTATACGATCTAAATTCACTTAATATACCAACCAGGCAGTTACATGTAATATTATTTCACATTGTAACTTTAACACAAAGAAATTATACTGAATCGACTGGATATATTAAAATAATACATACTGGATAAATAAAACATTGCTAATATTTCGCTGTAATATATATTCGATCACAATAAATTTACATATACGCACTTTGCATACAAGTAGTTCTAAATATTTAATAGAAATTAGATTCAGTCTCACCTTGCAGGTATTATATTTAGCAAAGCCCTTATATAAAGCGCAGGTCTATCTTTCTGGACGTTCGTATATGTTTTCTATTCCAACTTCGCTTGCTGTCTTCCCGACCACAATGTTGATTCAACAACAAAATCTCGCTTGAAACGTCTTCTTGAGAGTTTAAGCGCCAAAAAATTTCACTAAACTTCGTACTAGAAGGCATGTCGAACAATGCATGGTGAGAAGTTTCCGAACAATTCCCGATTTAAGCCATTTTCATAATATTGCGCAACAAAAACATGGCCACCGTGGCTCACATGATAAAATCTCGGCCTGTGATTGGCTTGACACGCTCCACCGTGGCTCAAAGTGGCAAGAAGTTACTATATTTAGTAACATCCGAACCGCGGACCGTGGCTCAAAATCGCAGTCGCATTTTACGAACATTTTCCGAACTAAGAATGATGAACTTCGAGTAGTTCTCGGTTATCGTCGTAGCAAACATTCAACTTCAGCAAATGAGGGGTTTTCCCTACCTCCTCGACAGGCGTTTTTGAGGGGTTTTCCTGAGGTTTTGAACCTTTTACAGTTCAGGAATTACATCTTTTGAGATATTTACGTTTTTATTTCGCGATTTTGTTGAAAATCAAATAACAGTAAGATATAACGATGCGAGTATGTATTTGTTTAAATTTAAAAGGTTTGGGACGCGTTTATGTGTATAAATATAAACGATCGCTTCGTCCTTATATAGACCAAGTTAGAGAATATGACGATTTAGTCAAAAATCTGACCGTGGCTCAAGCCACGCTTGCCACCCCCTGGATCCGCCCCTGAAGCCCCCTGAACTCGACGATATAAACAACATACAGTAAAGCCCCCTGAACTCAACGAGACATTCTGATACACACATGAAACTCATTCGGAAAACACACAAACCATATGCAATTATTTTCAGGGGTAGAACAACATGCACATAGCTAAAGTACAACAAAATTAGGTAGGGGCAGAAAACCTGTTAATATGACTAAAAATGACTGAAGCAACAATCCAATAAGACTTTAGCTTAAGAACTCCCTCTATTTCATTAAACACTGTAAACCCATACATGCAGAATTGTGAACAATTTAAACTAAGACATTATTCTCAATATGTGGCCATTAACGCCTGTTTTCAGTAAAAACTTCATTATTGAGCCCCACGAACTTGACGAGACATTGTGATACACACATGAAACTCATTTGGGAAACACACAAAGCATATGCAATTATTTCTAGTATTAGAACAGCCATGTAGCTAAAGTTTCCTAACTTTTTTAGCTTTTTAGTTATTTTAGGAAGCCAGTACTGCACACTTTTAAATATCAAACTTGTTAAAATTTTCTGCAACTCTTTATATGTAGGTAAAGAAAATTTGTTGTTGTTGTTGTTGTTGTACAACATAAGTTAGGAGCAGAAAACCTATTAAAATGACTAAAAATGACTGACCAACAATCCAATAATTCTTTAGCTTAGGAACTGCCTCTATTTCATTAAATACTCTATCTTATTGCATTAAACTTTGGGAATACTAAACCCATACATGCAGAATAGTGAACAATGTTAAACTAAGGCATTATTCTCAATATGTGGCCATTAAGTACTGTTCACAGGGAATCCTTCAGTAAAGAGCCTCCCGAACTTGACGAGACATAGAACAGCCATGTAGCTAAAGTACAACAAAAGTTAGCAGCAGAAAACCTATTAAGAGGACATTTTTTACAAAATCGCGTATTTTTTGCGCAAAGCGCTCAAAACTTAGCGACCAGGCCTTTCCCTAAAATCCTGCCCCGCCATCTTGGTTTTAAAAATTTCCCAAAATTTGCGAAGACAAATAACAGAATTTTACTGGATTTTTGGCTGTGTCACGAGGCAAAACATTGCCAAATATAAAGAAAGATAACATGGTAAGTGTAATATCGTATTTAGTAGCTGTTATTTAAATTATTATTATGTAAATATGCACATGTATCGGACTCAGGAGTGACCATTTCATTCAAAGAGGTCATCTATATTTACTGATTAAAAGTGTCTGCTTTCGTCTTTTAAATGATGGCCGGCCTGTTCACAACTCGTTTACAATATAGCTACATGCAAAATTTTAAAGGAAGAATTTGAGTATTTGTAAATAATCCAT